GTGTGGCGTGGCAGGCTGTGCACTCCTGTGGTGAGTTGGTCTGCCCTCTGCAGAGCTCTGACTAGAGAGGCTTTCAGAGGACTGTCAGCTTGGGCCCCTCAGCTGCACTCACCCTGGGGAGGGCTGGGGCTCGCCCTTTCCTTCCTTCTGAAGTGGGGAGGAGCAATGGGGTGTGCGCTGGGACCTGCCAGCAAGCGGGGGGAGCTGCAGGGCCTCTCAGCCCTCCTGTGGTGAGTTGGTCTGCCCTCTGCAGAGCTCTGACTAGAGAGGCTTTCAGAGGACTGTCAGCTTGGGCCCCTCAGCTGCACTCACCCTGGGGAGGGCTGGGGCTCGCCCTTTCCTTCCTTCTGAAGTGGGGAGGAGCAATGGGGTGTGCGCTGGGACCTGCCAGCAAGCGGGGGGAGCTGCAGGGCCTCTCAGCCGTGACTCAGCATGGGTCTATCTGGTCATGTTCAGGGAGTCCCCTTCCACTCTATCACACCCACCCAGGCACTGCTCCGGTGCCTCCGAGCCGTGGGTTGGCATCCCCGACATCGCTGCTGTCGCCTCTCAGCTGGAGTGGGGTTTTACAAAGGGAGCATCTCGTCTGCCACTCCTCTTGCTGCTTCCGTCTGGTCTTGCCCCTTCGCCACTCTCCCACCCTCACACTGCTGTACGGTGCCCCTGGGCTCCTTGATCTCTTCGGGGTGAACAAAGTTGACCTTCCCACTGCCTCTTGCGGCTGCATCATGACGGACGGCTGCCCAGAGGGATGGTACAGCTCCTCTCCCAGCCCACCCTCTTGGGGGAACCCCGAGTGGGCTCCTCTGAGCACCCCTTGCTGCAAAATGTGAGGCTGCGCAGGGCAAATGCTCAGGGAAACTGAGCAGAGCAGTCTGGCCACCTGCCACTGGCTTTATGCAGCCAGGGCACAGCCCTCAGGCAGGAAGGATTGCAAAACAGTCAGGGTGGGAGAGCAAGGAGGCTGGAGAGTGTTGGGGAGCAGTGGGGAACCTCAAAGCGCCACTGGCAGCTGCCTAGATGGGCAGTACGTGGCAGGATAGTGGGAAGGGATGTGTCCAGTACTGACCCCCGGCAGGGCCCCATTCCTGGAATTTGGGCTGTTTCACAGGAAGGATGACCGACTTGCTTTCCTCTCCAGGATGGGAGGGAAATTTTGCTGTCAGATCGCCCTGGCTGCAGTCCCAACAGACAGCTTCCCAGCACCCTTCAGGCTTAACTCTTGGGCAAGTCCCTTCTCACATTCCTGGACCCCATAGCTGGTAGCATTGCACAAAATGGGGATCCCCAACGCTTGACTCCGTCCCCCACCCCAGCTCAGATAAGCTTCAACTTTCCTAATAATAATCAAACTCTCATCAGATAGCATTCCCCACTCCCCAGGCAATTAGGATAGGAAATGATTTTGCAAGCTCCCAGAGGAATCTCCCCAGCAGAGATGTTTCTCCTGGTCCTGCTACCCAGCCCAGAGTGGTGCTTACACTGGGCTGGGGAAGTGGGGGGGAACTTGGGGGCATTTTTCTATCTTCCCCATCAAAACTTTTGCAGAACTTGGAACTCTACTCAATGGGACAGGAAACTCTGCCTGGCATTCTCAAGTGTAAGAGAGACTCATTGAAGGAGCCCTTAGTGCCCCACAGGGCCATGGCAGCACCCTCAGCAGGAGCTCAGCACCCATCACACAGCTGCTGCTGCTGCAGACCCCCGGGTGATGTGTGCTGGTCCCTGCTGCTACCCTGGCCTCCCCTGACTGCCCCTGCACGGGTGATGCTGAGCCTGCAGGACCTGCAATGGCTCATGGCACTGCTGGTTGCTGCTGTCTCTGCTGACCTCAGCCCAGGGCACAGCAAGCAGCTCCAGCCCATAGCATTTCCCTCCAGCTGAATCATCAGGCAGAGATTTAATTCCTGTGCGCTGGGGGCACAGGATGGCACAATGCCCTCTCACGAGGTGCCAGAGCACTCAATACCTGGTCCCACAGAGGTTGTGGGGCAGAAGCGTGACAGCAAAGAGATCCCTGCCCACACTGTTGGGTGCCAGGAGGGTGAGTGTTTGTCTTTTCTGCAGGAACAGCTGCCTGGGAGGCAGCTGAGGGAGCCCTTCCCTTCCTCCTCGCAGGGTGAATGGCCGGACATTTGCTGAGATGGAGATTACAGCACGTGTATCCGGATTTCTACTTCACTGTGTCTGGGAGAAAGCTGGGGGTACTTTAGAAACCTCACCAAGCCCTGTCCCTCTGCCTGGGGGTGCAGAGGTGAGAGGGAAGGAGCTTCCAGTTTCTCCACCAGCAGTGGAGATGCCAAGGCATGGCACCCACTCACCCATCATGGGGTGCCTTTGAAAACAGCTCACTCCCTCCCCCTGTGCTGAGTTCCCCAGCTGTCCCAAGCAGCCCCTGGCCCTGCGCAGCAGACAAAGAGCGGGAGCACATGCGCCCGCCCAGCCTCAGGGCTTTGGCAG